ATAAATTAATTAGACTAGCAAGATTGTTCTTTTATTAAACTTGTTCGACCGTAACTAAAACATCAAAAACAACCCACCTCTTGTGATTGTCATACCAACACAGGAAATAAATTAATTAGACTAGCAAGATTGTTCTTTTATTAAACTTGTTCGACCGTCACTAAAACATCAAAACAACTCACCTCTTGTGATCACCAGTTTAGCTTTAACACGAGTTTTCTGTCACGACTTTCCACGGTTTAATCGAGTTTCACACATTGTTGATTCGAGCCACCTGTCTTGGTGCGTCTCCTATTGAACAAATATGTATATGCTCGTAGCTGACAATTGTTAATCCTCCTGGATGGCAAACAGCCAAAAAACAGAAAATAACTGGAGAGACATCTCTTGCAGAAATTATAAAGCAAGCGATCAGCGTGTTGCCTTGACTACCAACTCTCTCGTTGTATGAGCGTGCACAAGCTTGTCAGGATAAACCAAGACTGGTTTGAACCAGACGACAGCTGGTATTTAAGACCCTGCTTCACGCTGGAAAAAAACGCCCTCTGTTGATCCCTTGTGTCGTAACTAATTCCTAGAGCGTTTCAACAGTTTATTCATAATATAATTCAGAGTTATAAAGAAAGAAAAAAAAACATCAAAACAAAATCTGTAATTGTTTGAGTTGATTTTCTATTTAAAATTTTATTGTAAATAGAAATTACAGGAATAAGGCCTAATGTACATTTATAAAACAATAGAAAGTATCAGACCTTACACTCACAGCTAGTAGAAGATTAAGCTCTTTGGAGAACCTTGACCCAGGTTTTTGTCCCAATCTCTAGTATAATATTAAACAACTCTGACAGCATTTCATGTCTGAAACCGAAATTGTATTTTGTATTTTGGGTTTATGATTTGAAAAGAATTATTTTCATTTTTTTTGTAGTAAAAAACAATGCGAACCATCTTAATCAAATAAATCTTAGCAACACTGTGAACTTATGTTAGGAATTAGTTCCAATGTTTCTTTTTAAACTTCTGGAATATGATGCTTTACTGCTGAACATATCCCATTAAAGCATTAAAACTTGACTGTTGAACATATCCCATTAAAACATTAAAACCTGACTGTTGAACATATCCCATTAAAGCATTAAAACCTGACTGTTGAACATATCCCATTAAAACCTGATTGCTGAACATATCCCATTAAAGCATTAAAACCTGACTGTTGAACATATCCGATTAAAGCATTACAACCTGATTGTTGAACATATCCCATTAAAACCTGACTGTTGAACATATCCCATTAAAGCATTACAACCTGATTG